GGAGCGGACAAATTTTCCCCTCAAGCTGAACTCTCTGGACACAGTCCTTGAGGAAGGACTGGGGCCAGCTCAGTGCCAGACGCCAAGTCCTCATCCCCAAAAGCCTGTCTAGAAGGTGGCTGTGGTCAAGGGTATCAAAAGCCACTGAGAGACCAAATAGAATCTGCAGGGTAGATCTTCCTCTTGGCGGCCTCCCTTAAAGGGTCCTTGTGCACCATACAAACCCTACCTGAGCTTCAAATAAAAAGACAGTACTTTCACCAGGCACTGGTGCACAAGGACCCTTTAAGGGAGGCCGACAAGAGGAAGATTTCCTTCATTTTAAATATTAATATTACATGATGAAAGAGACAATGAAAAACACAAGTCCCTTGGCATAAGCAGTGAGGGCTGATAAGGTGGGGAAAACTCTGTACAATGAGAGTACAGTATCTCACACAAAAGCAGATAGAATGACAGAGGTCCATGGGCAGAGGCCAAAGGGGTGGGGAGTGTTTACGTGCTGATGTTCTCTTTGGATGGCAGCCACGTCTGCCTCACAGAATGCCACTTTGCAGCATACTTTCCGCTTTTATGGAACATGGGAAGCGGCTGCTCCAGAATTCAAACACCTGCATGCTAGACTGAGCATGATCCTTTTTAATTTGGATCATGACAACAGACGGTTGTCCTCAGTGACAAAGTCCATCTGTAAAAGGGACCCATCAATACTTAAGCAGAGATACATATTCTGTATTGTCCCTTTCTTCTTCTTTTTTTACCTGAAACGCTGCCATTGCTCTATCTGTCTCCACATCTGATAGCAGAAAAGGTTCAAATATAGACAGTGATATTGGTCCAGTCTCTAAAATCAGTAACTGTTGGGTGGGATTATTATATGCAAAAAGAGCTATTGCATATCCTGCTCGTAAACAGATATCCTTAAAATAATCAGAAAAACATAGGAACACATAAATGTTTTTGACAGTTAAACATAAAAATACTTTTTAAAAAAGCATACCTACTAATTCAAGGGTGTCAGGAGAGCAGGGTTGTGCAGCAATTTGAAGAGCAAGGTCAGAATATTTTTGAGGAAATGAAGAGCACAAAGGTGATTGTGCAAACGGTGTCTTCCCATCTGGCATCTGTCCTTTGCACAACCAGTCATATACTGTTGCAAAACTGAGTGCTCAGAAACTGATTGACAGGGTGGGGATAAGTTCAATAATTTCTCCTACATATACAGTATATGTTTTTCCCCAACAGGATTTTGGCTTAAAATTTGTATGCCTAGCAGCAGAATGGAAATTTGGGGTCAATTTGATTACCCTCACCTCCCGCTCCTTATGTATCTCCCAAATCTTCTCAGGAGCCTTGGGATACTTCTGTGACTAGAAAAGTTTAGGGGGCTGCAGGGGGAGAGACCAAGGGGAGTAGAATCAGTAGACGTCTGGATGGCATCGGATCAAAAAGGATATGTAAGCGTTTGTTTGTTTACAACGTGAAGTTAAAGTTCAAGAAAAATGAAATATTACTCTGCAAAACATACCATATTTTTCCCTTTATAAGATGCCCCCAACTTTTTAAATCCCAAAATTAAGAAATTTTGACTTAGCTTTAAGTATTCGGGGGAGTAGAATCAGTAGACGTCTGGATGGCATCGGATCAAAAAGGATATGTAAGCGTTTGTTTGTTTACAACGTGAAGTTAAAGTTCAAGAAAAATGAAATATTACTCTGCAAAACATACCATATTTTTCCCTTTATAAGATGCCCCCAACTTTTTAAATCCCAAAATTAAGAAATCTTAACTTAGCTTTAAGTATTCGACCTCTGGACTCAGAATGGTCAGACATTTTGAGTCCCTGTTGCATCTGAGCCTACAGGCTCTACCTCCAATGAGGTTTGTTCCAATTGGTTTGTTCAGCATCAGCTGATGCCAGTTCCATAAGGGTCGTGACTGGAAGAAGCTAAGTCTCCTGACTTTAAGCATCATGATTGAAGGATGCCTGTTTACAGAGGCAAGGTATGGGCCATTTGTTATCTCCGTGTTCTCAGCTTAAGGCAAGGTATGGGCCATTTTGTTTTCTCCGTGTTCTTAGCTTACTTCCATGTATAAGATGTCCCTCAATTTTTAGTGTAATGATTTTAGGAAAAAAGTATGTTATACACGGAAAAATACAGTAAATGAAAACTAAGATCCAGTCAAAACCAAACACTAAAGGAAAAAGGCATTCTCTTTGATTCACACATTTTGTCTCCATTTTGTTTTCTCAGAGGGGTACACTTCAAATTTTTAGTGTAATGATTTTAGGGGAAAAGTATGTTATACATGGAAAAATACAGTAAATGAAAACTAAGATCCAGTCAAAACCAAACACTAAAGGAAAAAGGCATTCTCTTTGATTCACACATTTTGTCTCCATTTTGTTTTCTCAGAGCGGTACACTTCAGAAATCATTTTTGCAGAGTAAGATCATGCTTAGCTTGTACAAAACAAAGCACACTGGGATGCTGGATCTGTAGGCGAGCAAAAGCAAGTGCCAGAACATACACATCTTTCGTCACTTGACGGAGCACAGTTTCTAATGGCATGTTGAGTACATACAGCCAAGTTTGACCCTAAAAGACCCCATCAGGGCACATTTGACGTAATCTCAAGTGCTGATGAACTGGCCAAGCAATATGAATATATCTAAAACGTCACCTTTTTAAAAAGTGACAGTGACGTACATATAACAGAGCTAACTCAGAGTTCCTGAAACTAGCAGGAATTAGTTTACAATTGGCTTTAGCAGAGAAAATAACTTTTGCTAGCTTAGCAGCCCTTTCAGCAGATGCTGGAGCCCTTCTGGAAGAGCTGCTCTGTAATTATGTCACTGTATCCACTAGCAATTCATAAAAGGTCCTTCAAGGACTAAAGGTTGTATCACTCATAGGTCAGAGACTCAGCAAATGTACACATTCAACACTTCTTTGTATGCCGTGCCCTGTACTGATATTAAGCACGGACACCAAAATAAAAAATAATTTTTCTGTTAACATATGAATGGCACTGCAAATGGCAGTCACTGTCCTCTGGTTACAAACCTAAAAAGTCTGATGTGTGTCATGGGGCTCAAGAGTCTTTTGAGGTCCTTTCCTGTTACAATAAGGTGTTCCTGTGTATTCAACTGATACTGCCTACAATGATCTTGGTGAAGCATCAAAACGTGAGAATTTACAGAATATACGGCTAGACTAAAACTGCTGCAGGCTTTTCCTTACACTTTGCTGTAAATACCTGCTCTGAGGCAACATTTGCGTCCTATGCTATTCGTACATTAAGAGGTAAATTCTTCAGGAGTTAATATGAGTACAAAATGCAACTTATGGAGTCTTGGACACCAACATTTGCTGAGTTTCAGAGCTATAATTCATACATAGCTAAGACATAAAAGTAAAGGTTCCCCTTAACAATTTGTCCAGTTGTGTCTGACTCTAGGAGGTGGTGCTCATCCTCGTTTCCAAGCCATAGAGCCAGCGTTTGTCTGAAGACAGTTTCCGTGGTCACGTGGCCAGCACGACAAGACATGGAACACCATTACTTTCCACCGAGGTGGTACCTATTTATCTACTCACATTTTTATATGCTCTTGAACTGCTAGGTTGGCAGGAGCTGGGACAAGCAACTGGAGCTCGCTCCGTCACATGGATTCAATCTTATGACTGCAGGTCTTCTGACCTTACAGCACAGAGGCTTCTGTGGTTTACCCACAGTGCCATCTAAGGCATATCAAATACATTATTTTATGTTGGAACTATTACGTACTCCAGTGAAGACAATACCTTATCTGGTGCATAAAGAAGTCCAAGGACATCAGAATAAGTAAAATGTTCCTTCTCTTGTAGAACATTCTGCAGGTTACTGTTCTTTAAAACAATGCAAGCCAAAGAAAATGCAACTTCAACCTAGGCATTTAGTATGTGGTGAGATTGGGAGACGAGGAGACAAGAGAAAAGGGGTTTTAAATAATACATCTTTTGGGGGGGGGGTTTAAAAAAAGCCCCAGAGGTCAACTTGTCCTGAGTTCAAGAAACTTAATACTGGTACCTAGGAGTTTGCAAAACGTACACTAGTTTGTACAGGAAAGGTTCCCTCCCACTTTCCCCCAGAAGTAACCTGATAAGGTGTTTTTTTTTCCTAGTTGTTTTTGTCAGTAAATTGGAATCTAAGCTATGAATCCTATTGTCCCAGAACTCAAAACTGGATTTATGCCTGAAGAGCAAAATGCCATTCTTCAGTGCATAATTTAATGAGCTACCTCTTTTTGAGCCCAGACCTCCTGCCCACCAGGTTTTTCCAATTATCTAACATGCAACCTAGCGGCGTCCCGCAGTCTAGTTGCCATTGTCCACTTTGTCCGCTGCAGACTCTGCCCATCCCACCGGCGGCTCAGCGGATCTTAACCCTTTGTTTTGCTTGGCCAAGCCTATTTTTTTTTACTTTTCCTCACTTGAGGACCCATATCACCTGAAAAGAATGCTCATAAATATTTGCGAATTGTGTCAAAAATTGTTTACAAATGAAAAAAGTTACGGATAGCCACACTACACTGCAGGAAGGCAATGTTCCGTTTCATAGAAAACAGCCATTGGCTCAAGGACTGAGGACCTAATCTGGGTGGCTAGGATGAATTCTGTCTTTGCCACCGACCTCTGACTTCTGTGAGCAAGTGACCTCATAGATGAGTGATCGAACATCTTCTTCCTCTTTTTTTAAAACATTCCAAAGTTCCACTCCAAACATCACCAGGTAAGGCTACAAAAGTTTCCCACCCCAAACCCCAGAAAGCTGCTGCCAATTGGTGGTGACAGTATGGGGCTAGAAGAGGCAGGTGTACAGCTTGAGATAAACAGCCTATGCTTCAAAACCTACTTTTATCTGAAGAGAATGATGAGTTTTGAGTAAATGAACCAGTATCGGCAAGGCCCCTTCATCCACCACATTCTCTTGACTGACTGGATTGCTTATGTTTGCTTCTCCTGCAGGAATATGCAATTCAGGTGTGGAGACCAAGGTAAGAAACAAAATCAAAAAAAAGAGAGCAAAACTGGAAATGTGACATCAACACAAGTAATATGCCGAACTATGCCACCATACAAAAATGACATTGCTTTCTCTTTTGAACAGAGATACTGCTTTGGCTCTAAATGACTGCAAGGCAAAACAGGTATAAAAAGGGAGTTTAACAGAAGAGTTATCTGACGGAGTTGTGATTCTTTTCACTTGGCACCAAATGAAAAGATTTTTTTCCTCCCAGCAGTCTTAAGAACTTGTAAATTTTCTCATTGTTTTGTTTTTTCTGTTGATTTCACTGCTGATTTTGTTATGTGTTGTATTGCTTTTACCCTTATTGTTGGTTTTAGCTTAGTTTCATTTCAGTGCTATTTTATTATTGTTTATTATTGTTTTAGCACTATGTTGTTGTGGTTTTTTTGTTCTGTTTTCTTGTATGCCACCCATAGGTCTCCAAATCTAAACCTGCAAGAAGAAAGGTAAAGGGAGAATGCAAATAAAAAACTGTGATTCAGAGAATAAGTTGTCCCCAGTCCCCAAAAATGGGGCTACACAGTGAGTCATTTAGCCTGCTGATCATCATCACCTCAAAACAACTCCTATTTTTTAGAGCAGGGATGGACTGAAGGTAGTTTGGAATCTACATGTAAATGTCTTGATAGGTACTGAGCCTATCATATTTTGGAGACATCATGAGAAAACAAGAGACACTGAAAAAGACAACAACATTAAGAAAAGCTAAGGGCAGCAGGAAAAGAGGAAGGCCGGACATGAGATGGATTATTCAAGGAAGGAAGCCATGGGTTTACATTTGCAAAACCTGAGTAGGGCAGTTCATGATAGGACATTTGAGGGAGGTCACTCATTCGTAAGATTGCCATAAGTTGGTTGTGACTTGATGGTGCATAACAGCAGCAGCAGCGTTAGGATTATTTGGTGTTTTTCTTACACAGCACAGAAGCAGCCTTTGTTGAACCAAAGTAACCATATTGGAAACTGGTAAGAAAGAAAAACATCACTTCAGGTTTTATTGCCTTCCTTAAAGAAAGGCAGTGCTGGATAGGACAGGAAGAAAAGACACCTAAACATATTTACAGAAGTCCCTAGAGCTGGCTTCCATGCTCATGTATCTGCCATCAGCTGCTGTACAGAGGCCATGTGCTGCACAACGTCCGCCATCCTGACCATTAACTATGCTTGGGGCTGATGAGCGTTGCAGTCCCAAACTGCACATCTGGGGAGCACATTTGGAAGGGCATTACACAGAACGATCACTTCTCAGACTTCATCAAGCACAAACACGTTTTTTCAACCATAGGACAACAGAATAAAAAAACCACAAACCGACACACATGGTCCCCAAGGCTCTGATGACGCTGAGCAGTGTGCCCTCTGCTATCCTTCCACTCCTTAACAGCCGGACCAAAGGGGCAATGCCGTTCCCTTCGCATATTTGATTCTGGTGGAGTTCACTGTCCTTGCTGAGCGCTATGACGGCTTCACCTCCTTCCAAAACAACCAGAAGAACACAAGAGACTTAAGAACATTCCAGTGTTTGGATCTGCAAGTGTGTCTGTGTCTGCATACACATTTGTGCAAATTCTTTAAAACAACAAATGGTGACTTACCAACACACTGCATTCTGTCAGAGGGTGAGAGAAGCATGTCAATAATAAGGTTGTATCCAATTTGTTCTGCCATGAACTTCTGCTGTTTCAGAGTTTGTCCTGCCAGTGCCCAGAGGGTCGCAGCACCTTGTTCTTTAACTTTCAGGTGAAAAGCCTGTTATTTTGGGAAGAAAAATCCTGTTTCCTGGACATCCTTGAGGTCTTACTTATCACAGCAATAAAAGTGAGGCTACAGTGCTAAGCAGACCTAATTGTCTGCTAAATTATATTGGTAATGGTGGCATTTGTTTCTTTGACAACATGCTTAGGGCCAGGCTGTGAAGATCCCGGTGATGCCAAGGAACAGCCTCCTCAGTTACTCCAGAAATGTCTAAACCAGTCTAGAGAGGGGCGTGGGGGAGGGGCGGGGAGGGGAATTGCTTGCCTTCAGGAGCTTCAGAAGGAATTTTGTCACCGACTTGGCAAGAAATCTCATCTGGATGTAAGTGTTTTTTTCACAGAGCGCCTCAATGGCCATCGCTCCTTTCACCTGGACACTGATTTTCCTTCCTCTGAGAAGCTCCACCAGAGGGTGGATGACCTGGGCCTTGGCAAAAGCGTTCTGCATCTTGGCATTCCCACGGGAAAGTTCTGCAATCGCAGCCGAAGCCACTGCCAGGAGCACATCTTCGAGTGGAGAAGGTGTTATAAGAAAAGAAGCCAACCGCATGCGTGAGTTCAGAGTGCTAACACAACAGCAACAGTACAGTAGCTACTTCGGGATTCATCTGTCAAGCAGAGGTTTGTTTTAACAACCATCCCCTCACTGCTCTGTGCATCCTGTATTTACAGGAGAGGTTGGTGTGATCATTGTTCCATAGCTCTAAAAGTACTCCGCAAGAGCTACTCTCTACTGTGTCTATGTACTGTAGTTTCTAAAGTAATCATGTCTTTCACTGAACATTCTCATTGGATTTACAAACTAAAATACCTCCCACTTTCTCGATTCACTATGAGTAGGGAGCACTGTTGGCCATGCTGGCAGAGAATTAATTTATCAGTAACATGAGTTATTTAGAGTTCACTACTATATTGCCGACACAGTTCTCCTGTGTCAGGTAGAGACTCTCCCTGCAAAGGCAAAAAAAGCGAGTCTGCTTGTGGAAATTCTCCCCCACAATGGTGGTGTTTTACACTGATGTGGTTTTCTTTACACTGCTATGGCTTTCCTTACACTGATGTGGCTTTCCCCTGGCAGGGCCAAATGGAGGCCCTCGTAAAGCAAGGCCAAAATTGGTTGTTTTAGTTCATTAAATTACAGATTCAACAGCAGTAAATTAATCAGTTGGATGTAGATTACTTTCTCTGAAATAATACTTATTTCCTTAATAATACATCATATTTTTATGAGCAAATTAAATTAACAGTGTCTCAGTATCATGTTCCAATATCCTAGATCTTCTTCAGGTCTTCACTGATTATAAATTAAGTTAGAACAATAACTAATTCCTCAAAAACTCTGAGGACAAGACAATCAGTCTGCTATTATGGCCTGCTTTGCCCCTTGGGTTGGCAAGCTTCAGTCTCATTCACTCTCCTTCCGTTCATCTCTGGAGCTGCTCTGAAAAGACCAGAAGCTTCTAATCTAGCTCAACTATAGTTTTAACATTTTGTCTAAACTATGGTTTCTCTTAGCTTCACTTAGCTGAAACAAGTCAGCTTCAAAAACTGTGGTTCAAAGCTGATTTGCCTCAGAACTAATGTGAATTAAGATTAACCACACTTTCGCTTCTGATGATGACATCATTCCTGATGCACAATGCGGCTCTGTGCAACAGGATTTCAGCTACAGTACTGTACTTTGTTTAGTTCTAAAATTGTTAGGAACCAATGGTATTCAATACAAACTGGTTCTCTGGTTTTTTTTTACCTGAATCTGAATCTAAGAAGTCAACAAGTGGCTCAATGCCCATAGCTTCCTTCACTCTCAGTTGATTGGCTTTGTTTTTAGTGCATAATACTCGAATACAATTTATTACATTCACTAGCAGATCTTCTATGTTGTACTGCAACAGATTAACAAGAGCTGGAATTGCACCCTGTAGATGAGAATACATACAACTGTGAGGAGCAATGACAAAAAGGGCAGCCTTCAATCACTGCCAAATCGCTTTGGCAGGAAGCTCTGCAATCAATCAAGGTGCTGCCAGAGTAACCAGCCTAATTCTCTTGGAGCAGTGGGACAGCTTTCTTTCAGGATCTCAAATTCCAGGCAGGAGGAGATGGTCTTCCAGGTATCCTGGCCTCAAACTGCTTAGGATTTTGTACATCAAAATTAGCTCTTTGATTTGAGCTTGGAAGCAATTTGGGAGCCAGTACAATTAGTTCAAGACTAGTGTTACATGGACGGCAACGTTCCCAGCAGCCTTCACCGCCAGTTGTGCTGGCCAGGTTATTGGGAGTTGCAATGCAAGAACCATGAGGGCTACCCAAAGTTCAAAATACCTCTCTAGAAGTACATTGGTGCCACCGGTAACCACAGTGTTAAGGTTAATGAGCATTTCCTCTTAGTTTGGATAGGAAACTAAGGTGTGAATTGGGGCCCAGATTCCAGATTAAGGAGAATTCTAGATATTAATATTAACTTCAGTCACAAGTAAGATCAGAGAGAATGCATTGCTTAATCATAGTTAGATTGGAAAAAAGAATTCCTTTCAGGGAAATGTGCAGAGAGAAAGAGTATGTATTCACACAGCTATCTCCAGTTTGTTAATCATGGTCAGTATGGAATCAGCAATAAGTTGGCAGCATGCCTGGGTTTATAGGCACACAGACATATTGAAGTCCTTGTGTGTATAGACACCGTACATAAGGATGTAACAAATACTCAAAAACGTTGTCATCTGCAGTGAAAAGAATTCCTCATTCTGGAGACACCCAGTTGAAAAAATGGGCAAGCTCTGTGAGAGGTTTCTCTCCTGAAGGAGAGCAAAAACACAGGGTTGTGGTTTTTTTTTTGCCAGAGACAGCACTGTCACTCACCATTTTTCAAGCATAAAACCATATAGTTTGCATGACAAAATTATATTTTGCATGAAAATTATATTACGCAAAAACACTTCTGCTAATTTTTCTGCAAAAAAGAGGCTCTCAAATGTGAAAAATGCATAAACTTGCCCTCCATGGATAAATTGTCTTAATTTTGTTCATTCTTATCTGAGAGAACAGATGGTTCACAACTCTACGTTACACAAAAGTCCGAATAGTCAAAGCTATGGTTTTTCCTGTAGTGATGTATGGGAGTGATAGCTGGACCATAAAGAAGGCTGACCGCCGAAGAATTGATGCCTTTGAATTGTAGTGCTGGAGGAGGCTCTTGAGAATCCCCTGGACTGCAAGGAGAACAAACCTATCCATTCTAAAGGAAATCAACCTTGAGTGCTCACTGGAAGGACAGATCCTGAAGCTGCGGCTCCAATACTTTGGCCATCTCATGAGAAGAAAAGACTCCTTGGAAAAAACCTTGATGTTAGGAAAGTGTGACGGCACGAGGAGAAGGGGACGACCGAGGATGAGATGGCTGGACAGGGTCATTGAAGCTACCAACATGAATTTGACCCAACTCCGGGAGGCAGTGGAAGATAGGAGGGCCTGGCGTGCTCTGGTCCATGGGGTCACGAAGAGTCGGACACGACTAAACGACTAAACAAAACGACTTGTAAAAAACAACCAGAGAAGTTTAAAAAGAACAAATGGTCACAAACAAGGAAATTTCCCTTCCTTGCAACATAAAAGCAAACACGATTTTTATTCTAGCCCATTTTTAAAGGGGTGGAGCTGAAAAGGAGACTGCATTTTTCTGGATCCAACTCACCAATTCAGCAATGATGACCTGGTTATCATCCAACTGGGCAACGTCATATAAAACGACAGCACAACGAGACAGCAGTTCAGGTTCATCCGTGGCCAACAGCTTAATGAGCACCGAAATACCTCCTGCTTCTACAAAGGCTCTAGCGATTGAGTCATGGGTTGAGATGTTACTCAACACTCCTATGGTGATGCTCTCTAGCAGGATGTCATCAGTTTCTAACAAGCCAGTCAATGAAGGTATAGTACCTGCATGCAGAAGAAAGATGAATGTCATTACAGTTCCACATGTGGCATCCCCGGCAACATTCTGTGAAACACTTCAGATTTTTAACTTATTCAGGACATCCCTGCAGGAAATGTCCCTGTCCACATATGTGTTGGGGCGTGGCCTAGATAAAAGGTCACAGGTGAGGCAATTTGATAAAGTTCCTGGATATGTGAGAAAACCCAGGAGGTCACCTGATACCCTTCCTTCCTTTGGCCACCATCTGATTTATTCTAGTATGAGGTTTTGAGAGCAGCAGCTTTCAGAGAGTCACAGAATTGAATGAAAGGCCTTTTCCTTCCCTCTTTTTCATCTCTGGGCAGGTGACCATAGAGGGGGGAAAAGCATAGCTCTATGACATTCTGTAGGTACAGAAGTTTCTCCTTAGTTAATGGGCTTGGAGAATTAGGTCATGAAGCATGGGAGGGAATTTTCTGCCTTTCAAAACAAATCCTGCAAATAACTTCCAATCAATCGATCGATCGATCGATCGATCGATCAATCGATCAATCAATCAATCAATCAATCAATCAATCAATCAATCAATCAGACAAGCTCACAACATTATTGCCCAAGAACAAACAAGTATAAGAGTGGAAAACCTTTCCCTTTTCATATTGAACTGTATAAAGACGCTGAGATATGAAATGTATTGCACAAATAATCTGTTTTTCTCACCTGCATCCAAAATGCACTGCCAGTAGTTATCCTTGGCAAGACAAAGTACTTCTAGACATCGTATTGCCATTTCTTTCCTCTTATAGGCTTCACAATCCAACATACCTGTTGAGAATTTTAAAAAATGGTCTAAAAACATTCACTGCTGGCACGAAGGATTATATATTAGTTTAATTATGTGCAATAATTCAAGTTCACAACACAATTATTAATTGCAAAGTAACTGGCAGATGGATGATGAAGAAAATACTGTGAATGTCTACAGTATAATTCTGTGGTGGTGGTGGTTATGTGCTATCAAGTTCCCTCTGACTCAGATCAACCCTATGAATGAGTGGCCTCCAATTCTATGATTAGCGTCTAGTCAATGAAGCCTAGATTCTGGACAGTTATAGGTGTGTTTTGAGTGGATAGAAGTGCTTCCTTTCCTGGAACAGAAATGGGACTTCCACATCCCAAAATTTGTTTTAAATGTGATTTAATTGTTCTACACTGATAATGAAAACCTCTCTTATTAAATATTAATAATTGCCTATATGCATATGCTGTACATTCAAGTGGGAAACATCAAAGTATACCCATCATGTCTTGATTTAAATGTTTACTAAATGCCAGCTTTTTGGATGCCTTAGAGCCCAGTGTAGGTGACAGCTCTTCTGCCACCACAGGAGAATCATCACAAGACTTTTATCACTTCCTCTTCCCCAGTATCCTAGATGACATCTTTCACTACCCCTGACCATTGACCATGCTGGGGCACATGAACATATTCAAGAAATAAGCCACAATGCAACACTAGAATGAGATCTCACCCCTGGTAAATTTCAACACGCTTACTAAAGTGTTTGTAAGTGAAGGTGCAGTAGCTGCAATCTACAAAGTCACAAATGTCACCATAATTCCCTGTTTAAATCAAAGGCCCTGGGCCCCAGATCAATGACATGGCTAGTCAAGAGCATTCCCTTGGTCTATAATACGGTATAGTGCTGCCACCACGTGGCAATTGTGGGTTCCTTCTGGGTGGCATGATGACCCTTCTGGAATGGAATTCTCAACAGTAAAGCGTTAATAGTTTGTCTAGCTCAATCAAAATTAGTTAACAGTTAATGAACGCAGCCTTTTTGTGCTAACATTCCCATATCTGAGCCCATCCCTAGGAGAGTGAATGTCAAAGTCCAAATGGACTCTTAGCCATCACCTGGAGAAAGGAAGCTCTTTGGGGGAACATGAACGGGGGCCGACAGACTGTTTGCTACTCAACCTGTCTCTGGACTGAAGCGTCTCAGCAGGTCAAGCAAGATCAAATGAGAATGCGCGCACCTACCCACAAGAGTTTTCCAAACTGGCAGATCAGGATTATGCAGCTCAATCAGATGTTTCAGAACTTCTGTATGAAAGTTCAGCACCGCCAAGTGAATGATGTTATTTCCTTTGCTATCTTTCTTCAGCCAGTTGGCTTTGAGAGAAAATAAATACTGGATAGCATCTAATGCTCCAGATGTAGCTGCAAGCAAAAGTGGGGTGGAATGAAATCTGTAGGGCAGAGAAGAAAACAACACGATGACGTTTTAAAAAAGACCTCTTTGTGAAATTTGATGAATAAAATTAAGTTCAGAAAGCACTTTTGCAGGCTAGCAGTGGAGACAAGCTCCGGTGAACCCCGCCCTCAGCCAACACTCTCCCTTGCCTCCCTCCCTACTAGAGAGAGGGAGTCGGGGCCACACCTGTGTCCTCTTCCTACTGTGCAAATGCATGCTTGCCTGTGAATCTTTGCAACAACCAACCTTTGCTCCTGGCTTTGCCCAACCACAATGGGCACCAGCTGCCACGACAAGTTAGCAAAAAACCCAAAAGGAACAAATGAAAATCACCATGCAATCCTGTACAT